TAGATATGTATTATTAATTAAAGATATGTTAAAAAACTCCCCACCATTATCCCCTGATACAGATAAATTAGTTGAATGTTATCAATTGATATTGGATGTTGCTGCATGGATAAATGAAAAAAAATTATATGAAGAAGAAAGAGAAAAGTACAATATAGTTTTAAAAATAATTACTGGGTTATATGATATGAATAAATCTTGTAGAAGATTTATTGTTAGTGGGTATTGTAAATATCTTGATATGGAATCACCAAATGGAGTGAATAGTGCATATTTCTTTTTATTTAATGACGTTCTTATAGAAACTCAAGTTATAAGACATCACAACCATAAGATTAAAAGAAAACAATTATTTAATGTTTATAAGTTAATTAATGACTATGGAACTGTTGAAGATTTTAAAGATGATATGTTCCAAGTTCAATGTGTATTTATGGTTACAGAAGATGCTATTGTTTCTTATGGGACAAATCCTTCATTTGGCCCTTCTATTTCTTTTACTTCTCCTTTGTCTGATATGCAAGTCACACTTGTCTTTGATAATCCTTTAGATGCTAATGCTTGGTTTGTTGCTTTAGCTTATACGATTAAATTATCTCCTCGTTTGAATGAATCAAAGAACATATTTAATATCAGAAATGAATAAGGCATTTCATTATTGTTTCATCCCAACTATTAATTGTATTGTTCTGTTATTTCGTATGATTTTATTGTTTGAATGATTTTTTTTTTGAACGTTCAACTTCTGTTGTTTTTTTTGTAATAACTGTTATGTTAGTGTTATTTACCAATAAAGTTAATACTAAACATTGTTATTGAAAATGAATATATATCTGATGGCATTTTATAATGTTCTCGATTTAATATTTCATGTGCCTTGTATTTTGGTGTTCCTATTCCTTTTGTGAATGTCATATTTGTCATCATCATATTGATGTTTCTTGCACTTCCAAAATCCGTTAATTTACAATTAACTTCAATGTTATCATCAAGTGTTACAATATGGAAATTATCGGGTTTAATATCTCGATGTAATATTCAATTTGAATGAAGATATGATATTCCTTTTGCTCCATCTATCATAAATTTGATTCTTATTTTCTTTGATTTTTCTGTGATGTTTCTTTTATTCATTATATCTTGTATTGATCCGTATTCTGCATATTCGGTTACCATACATATTTTATTAGGAATAAATACTGCTCCATAAAATTGAATAATATATTCATTTCGAAATTTATCTAACATTGCTACTTCTTTCTCAAATTCTTGCTTTTTATCTTCACTTTCTTCAACTTGTTTCATTTTCTTAATTGCTACTTTATTTCCTCTAAATTCTCCAACATAAACAATTCCAAATGTTCCTTCTCCTATTTTCTTTTCTTCTTTTATTTCATCAGGATCAAGTCGTGTTGATATTTCTGTTTCTCCTTCAATAGAAATACTTTTGATTGTTTCTTCTTGTGCTTTATTAAGTGTTTTACTAATTATCATTATTTTATCTTTGATTTTAGTTGTACATTTGATTGTAATGAATACTTCAAATTCACATGCATATCCTCCTTCAATTGTAATGATATTTTGGTTTGTTCTAATTGAATATTTCTCATTTTCTTCTTTACTACTTATTTGTATCTTCATCTTCTCTTTTTTATCATTTCCAATACAAATTAATTCTCTTATTTCTTCATTCACTTTAATTTCTTCTCCTTCTTGAAGTTCAATTTCTTTCTTATTTGATAATATTCCATCTCCAAGTGATATGAATTTGATATTTGATTGTGTTATTTTGAATATTGTTTTGGTTTGAAATGAAGTGTATATTCTCTTTATTATTGGTGTTTTTTTCTTATCCTTTTATTCATTTCTTTTTCAATTATTTTTGTGTTTTATTTTATATTTTAAACTAATCACATATAATGATTATATTGAAAATCATGAATCATTTGATATGACCTATCAATGTGTTATTAGTATGAATATTATTTAACACTAATAACAATGAGTTATAATAGAAATAAAATAAAAGTGTTAATGAGATGAAGATGTAGTAGTTATAATGAATATTGTTAATAAATTTAAAAATAACCAAATTCATTCAATTAAATTAATAAAAATATGATAAGAATAGAAAGAATAACAAATACACATGATGTACCATCAATATTCTTTTGATTATTTATGTCATTATCTGTGCTATTATCTGTTTCACTTTCATCGTTGTTTGATTGTTTAGTATCTGATTCTTTATTTTCATTTTTGTTTGGTTCATGAGTTTTTTCATCTTCTGGGTTGTTGTTTGTTTGTTGATTATTGTTATTCTTTTGTTGAGAATCATTATCTTTCTTTTCTTGTTTGTCTTTTGCATCATCTTGTGTTTTTGGTATTTCATTATTTTTATTATCACCATTTTCTTGTGTTTTTTCTGACTCTTCTTTTTGTTGATTTCCTCCTTGAGTTGATGGTGTTTGTGTTTCTGATTGTTTTTTGTCTTGTTTTTGAATTTCTTCTCCTTGTGATGATGGGTTATGATCTTTTTGTTGTTGTTTTGTCTGAATTTTCTGATTGTGGTGCTTTTGGTGTGCTTGACTATTGGCTTTCTGTTTGTTGTTTTGTTGTTTCTGCTGATGTTGTTTCTTCTGGGTTTTGTGGTTCTTTTGTGGGGATGTCTTTTGGTTGTTTTTCTCCTGTTGTTGAATCAACATCTGATCCTTTTGTTTCTTGTGTTTCTTTTGGTACTGCTTGTTCACTTGTAGGTACTGCTTGTTTTGTTGATTGTGTTGACGATGTTGGTTCTTCTGCCCCTTTATCCGTTGTAAGTTTCACATGATCTTCACCTTTTAAATGTATTTTATATAGACTAAACATTCTTTTATGTTGTTTTGGTTCTATTTGTATGTGTATTACTTTTGTATTGTTAATACTTTCTGTTGCATTAGTAATTACAATAGTCAATAGAAATATAAACATTGAATGAAATGTATTTCAGTTCTTCTCTTTAAATATACTCTCTTCTTGTTCTATTATTATCTATTATTTTCTTTTTATTTTATAATGACTCAATCATTTCATTCTTCATTTCATCATATCGATGTATTGTTGTATTTTGAACTTCAACAATAAATAGAATGAAATGAAAGATTAAATTAAAATTTAATCCATTTTTGTAATTTATTCAACAAAATTAAATAAACATTAAATTTAATAAATAAATCATAAACAATAACAACAATGAATGAATGAATTGAATAATAATTTCAATTCACAATTCAAATCATTATTATTTTAAGAATATATTCATCATTTATTGATTATTCATGTTAATTTATAATTATATTATTATTTCTTTATAATATTAGTTTATTTCTGTTGTTTTAGTATTGATGTGATTATTCTTTATTTATGTATTTATTTTATGTTGTTTCTATCACTTGAAATGTGTTATTATATTAAAATATTATCATTTCTTCTTTATTCTCTTAATTCATTTCTTTATTGTTCACATTTCATTTCTTATAGAAAATAAAATGATAAACATTATAATCACTAAATCATTAATTTGAATAAATTATAATTAATTATTTTTAAATATAATATCATCATTCTGTATTATATTACTTATATTTATTCTTTTATATATTTGTCATTTCTATTCATTCATTTCTTTATTTTATTATATTATGTTGTTAATATATTTGTTATTCTATTACAATATAAATCTTAAAATATCTTTTATTTGTTGGATATTAATTATTAATACAATTATAATTTATTCTCATTATTTTATTTATGAAATTCAATTTAATTTAATGATAATTATTACAACATTGAATAATTAGTATTAATGATTTTATAATTTATTATTTTTGTGAAATAAAACATTTAACAATTAATTTATTGATTTGTTTATTATTATATTTCATTTTATTCTTCAATTATCATTAAATATTATAGCATTAATGTAAGTAATTTAAATCATTAAATTAAATAATTTTAGTTAATTCATAAATAATTGCTGAATAATTTTATAGATTAATAAATATTACTAAATAATAATAGAAATAAAAGATAGTTGATCAGTTTAATCAATTATTCAATTCAAAGTTATTTGATTATGAATTAAATAATATTAATTTATATTATTTATGAATAAGATGTATTTATTTTTTTTTTTCTTCATTATTTATTCCTTTTGTATTATTTCATTTATTTGATTAACTTCATTAATGGTAATTTTATATTTTTATTTCTATTTTATTTCTTTTTGAATTTAAACAGATCCTTTTCCAATGCAGGATATACAATAAATTTTATTGCCATTGTTATGGAGTAATACCTTGACGTCTTGTAAAGAAAACCAAATAAGACATAGAAATACAAGGTTAAATGCCAATAACAACAATAAAAGATATTACGATTATAATAAAAGATATCACAATTATGATAAAAGAAATACCAAGAGAAAAGGGTTTAAAAACAACAAAGACAAAGAAGAACGAATAAGAAACAGGATAAATACTGGAATAATAATGAATATACAAACAATAAACATAGATGGTTAACAATAAAAGAGATACATGAAAGAATAAAAGGAATAACAAGTAAATGGGGAAAAGGAGAATATTCAGAAATACTGAAAAAATACGAAGGTAAAAGAAAAAGATGGTATGATATTCTTCAAGAAGTATATTCAATCAAAAAGAAAAAGAGAATTGAAAAAATGCAAGAAGAATTTAAAGAAAGAACAAAAGGATGGAAAGAAGAAGATATCCAAGCAATCGAAACAGAAATCAAAAGCAGAAATCCAATCAAAGAATTACAAAAAAAGATGTAAAATGGCTAAAATAATAAATGAAACAGAAAAAGAAAGAAAAAAACAAGAAGAAAACAAAGAAGAAACAAAGAATGAAGAGGAAAATTATAAAGAAAACGAAGAAATTAAAATACTTCAAAAGCAAATTAAAAAATTAGAAGAAGAAATTAAAGAATATCAAGCAAAAAGAAAGGAAGAAGAACAAGCCATCTCAGAATAAATGATAGAAAAAGCAAAAGAAATAGTCAGAAAAGAATTTGAGAAAGAGATAGAAAATTTGAAAAAAGAAATTAAGAAAGTTCAAACGAATTATAATGAAAAGAAGAAAGAAAATGAAAAACTAACAGAAGAAAATATAAAATTACAAGGTGAAATAAATGAGATAGAAGGAAAATCATGGAAATGAATAACAAAGAAGAAACCATTCGAAGTCTAAAATCCACTAAATGGAAGTTACAGAAGGAAAATGATGAACAAAAGGAGAAAACAGAAGAGCTGAAGAAAAAAGGAGAAATACTGGAGAAGAAGAATAATGTGTTAGAGGAACAAGCAGAAGTACTTGAGAAGAAAATTGAGGAGCTGAAAAGTAAAATAAGAGATAAAGAAAAACAAATCTCTGAAATTCAACAAGCAGCAATAATAAGTCATGAGATTGCAGAAATAACAAGAGAAGAATTAGACAACACACAAAAAGAAAATGAAGCACAAAAACAAATAATATCAAAACAACAAGATGATATTGAAAATTTTATCTCACAGAAGGAACTAGAGAAGAAGAAAACGATGACGCTTGTGATAAATACACAACCAGTACTGAGGAAAACATCATCAAGAACGATGGAGATGAACGAAACTACTCCTATGAAAAAGACAGTAGTGGAGATAGAAGAGAAAAGCAAAGCACTGATTGTCAAAAAACAAGAGATGATAATCAGACAAGAAATACAACAGAACAAACAAATAGAATTCTAATTGAAGTGTTGTATTGTTTTGCAATTAATTGGTTAAACAAGAAATTATATAAGAAATTAAGATGGGAACAAATTGAAAGTATAATAAAAGTGATAAACATCAATGTCAATAATGAAAAAGAATATATTAAATATATTAAAATGTCACATAAAATAAAAGAATGTACTAAACTGTACATTAAAGTGAAAGTAAATGATATAATAGAAGAGTAGAGTGTGATTCAATAATAAAGAAAAAACATCATATTAAAGAATAACTCTACAGAAATTGATGAAGAATATCTTAACACTCTCATCAATAAAGTAAAAGAAATGAAAGTAGAAAAATGTTCTAACATTAATTACTACTTTCAAAGAAAAGAAGCTGACCGATTAATAATGGAAATTAATAATAGATGGATATGGTCAGGAAGCAGAATGCAGGATATTCAAGATGATATGAAGATGATTTCAATGATTATGCACATATATCTCCAAAATAAAATAATAGGAGTTAAATTTGATGAAATAAAAGAAATCCTAAAGAAAATAAATAGACTAGAAGATTTGGTCAAGGGAAGAAAATGGTACAGAATCAAGTGCATCATGAAATTAAAAGAATATGATGAAGAAGGAATAAAAGTTAAATCACTATAAAGAATAAAATACCTAAAATATATGATGACAATGATCAAAGAAAGAATTAAATTTAATAAAGAAGAAAGGGTCAGAATCAATACAAATAAAATAATGTTTGATTCTAACAAGAAAATTAAAATAAGGAAGAAACAAATAATGAAATATACCCAAATAACGATATTACTTTAGAATATTGGAAATCATTATATGAAACACAGGTGAAATTAAATAAAGAAAATTGGAAAATAAAACAAATCACCTCGTGGAATGAAAGATATAGAAATTATGATAGTGTCATAATAACATTAAATGAATTAAATTTAAGTTTAATGAAAATAAGTAACTGGAAAACACCAGGAATAGACATTATATATTGGTATTATTTGAAAAGGATGTCATCATCAAGAGAAGCCATTCTAAATATCTTCAATGAATGGTTGAACTTCATTCAAAACATCCCATTAGACATGGTAAGTGGAAGAACTTTATTAATCCACAAATTGATAGGAATGATGTTACTAATTATCGTCCTATCAGTTGTACAAATGTAATTATGAAAGTATTTACCTCAATATTAAAAGAAAAGATTCACAGAAGACTTAACATGAATTGTGAATCATTGAAAATTAGTAGCAACCAATTGGGATGTAAGTTGCAATCTTTAGCTGCTAAAGAAGGAATAATTAATAGTTATATGTTAAAGCAGCAGAAAGAAGAGAAATACCCAAAATATGATGAGTCATATTATGACATTAAGAAAGCATATGACACAGTAAACCACGAATGGGTAATTGAATCATTAAAGTATTTTAATGTAGAGGGTGTCATCATTGACATTATTGAAAGTATGATGACTAGATGGAAGATATTCATCGGTTATAAATTTAATGAATATCTATGATGTATTAAATTAAATAGAGGAATTTTACAAGGTGATTCATTATCAAATCTACTCTTCATCATTCAGATGAATGTAATTTCTCAAATCATCGAAGAGAAATTCCCAAAATCAAATCACACTTTATATATGGATGATTTGAGAATAATGACGGAAAGCAGTGAAGAAATTGGAATAATCCACAATGAAATTAAAGAAATAATAAGTTACATATTGAAATGAATGAGAAAAAGTCAGGAATGGTATTAAAAACATTAAAGAAATACCAAATGGAATGCAAAACATCAATGTAATTGAAGGTGATGACTTGTATAAATACTTAGGAATATGGCAATCCGATGAAATTGATGACACCTTCAATTGCAAAACCATCAAAGAAAAAATGATGAAAAAGATGGAAGAAATAAACAGTGATGAAAGTAGTAATAGAAGATGTATTACTAGAATAAACACGGAAGTAATCCCTATCTTCAGATATTCAGCATCAGTTGTAAATTGGAAAATCACTGACTTAGATAAAATGGATTTGGAGATAAGAAAATATTTAAGAAAGGCAAAATACATTGGTGCTGGAAACTCCAAAGATAGGTTGTATGTCCCTCTAGAAGAAATGGGTGAAGGATTAATAAATATAAGGGACGAATATGTTATTGAATTAATTAGAACAGTGATGTACTACTGTACAAGAGTGAAATAGGAAATAACATATTAGATAGATTGTATAGTAAGAAATGAATATGGAATAGAATTAAAAAACAATAATTCATAAAATAAATGAAACAAAAATAGAAGAAATAATAAATGAAGGGATAGAAAAGAAAAAAGAAAAAGAAGTAGTAGTAGAAATAAAGAAATTAATGATAAATACATCAAAAAATGGAAGTGTCATCAAATTAGTAGATATTTTAGAAGATGGTTCGAGTCAAAATGAGTAGATAAAACTACTACAGTGAAAGCATGGAAGTCCATCAACATTAAGAAAAATGCATTTCTACAATTAAATAAAATGCAAGATGGAGCAATATTTTGTGGGTATAGAAAAGCAAAAATAATGAAAAATGAAAGATTGAACTACTCCACATTTTGTAAAGACAAGATAGCTACAGTAGAACACATTCTACTATCTTGTATTTATCATAATAAATCACAAATGGAAAAACATGACAATATTGGCATAATCATATGGGAGGGATTAATAAGAAAATATACAGGAAATAAACAATATAAAAAACCTCCATATGAAACAGTGTTCCAATATAAAGACATCACAATGATATTGAACAAACAAATAATGCATAAAAGTGATGGACAATACCACAAAATAACAGATATATATGTATTAGATAAAAAGAACAAAACGGGTCTAATATTTGATATGACTATTGTTGAATATCACAATATTAATGGAGTGTATTTGAAGAAAAGAAATAAGTATAAAGAATTAAAGAATATTCTAATGAAAATAGAAAAGTTAAAAGATGTCAAAATAATTCCAGTAGTAATTTCAATAAATGGATTAATAAATAAATAAAGTATTAGATTAATTAAAGAATTAAAAATTGAAATTGACATCGAGAAAGAAGTAAAAAACCATGTAATAAAAAACATGATGGATGTCATGGAATACTGCGGAGATCACAACCAAATATACTCCGTAGAGCTGCTAGAAGAAGATGAAGACGAAGGGACGGGATTAGTCTCCCCTGAGCCAGGAAGAATAGAAGCTATTTCTATTAATATTTAATGAATTGCTTTTTATTTTAATAAATAAAACATTATTTTTATTTGTCAATAATATTTAATTGTAAATGAAAAAATGTAATTATAATAATAAAATATAATTCGACACATCCATTGAAAAAAAAACGAAATACATATTGATAAATTCAAATGATGTATGATAAAATAAGAAGAGTTGTATATATGTCATTTTATTGTTTTTATAATAATATGATTATTTTCAGAATTCACAAGATACAAAGCGAAGAAAATATGATAGAAATAAAATGATTTTATTTTTCATTTGAATTTAAATGTATGTTGTGAATGAAAAAATAAACAAATAAGAAAATAAAATGAATTGATAATTTCAAATAGAAAGTGAATTAAATATGAACAAAAGTCTGAAAATCATTATTTTATTTAAAATTATTTGAAAGAAAAAGAATAATTTTGTGTTAGTAACAATTATAAACATTATTGAATATCATTATTTGTAGTTATGTAATTTTCATTTCATATCTTACACAACAAATAAAACCCGTCACTTGTACAATTTATGATATTCACTTATTTGTAATATAACAATCATCAAATATGTGTCTATAATGTATTTGAAAATTTAATAAATGATAAAACGTGAAATAAACAACGAATAAAACAAACAAACTTAACTATAGTTGATTGTACATGTGATTGAAAGTTCATTAGTTATTTTAACATTAAAAAGAATATTTAAAAATACGTAGTAAGCCAAATTCAATAATAAAGAAGTTAATTGATTCACATATATTATTATTCATTTTCTTGTTGAATATAATTGAAATGATAATAAAATATTAATTATTGTGTTAATTGTACAAATATACAATATTAAAATGAGTAATACAAACAAACACTTTTAATGTAGAAATAGTGTCAGATAATGTTTAACAAGTTATTAAAGTTATATGTGTTATACTTCAATTAAAATACATTTGAAATCTTGGTATATCATATGAATAAATAGTGTAACAATAACATAATGAAGTGTTAGAAAAAAGAAGAAAGTTGTGAAAGATAAAATCAAAAAGAGTATAATAAATATATTAAACAAATGAAAACATAGAGATTCAATGTATTTTATATATTCACAATAAGATGAGAGATAACGGAAGACAAAAAAAAAAAAATAAAAGAGAAAAACTAAGAAAAAGTGAATATGATAAGAATCAAATGATAAATTTAATGAAACATTAATGAGTATTTTAGAATTAATATTTATTTCATATCTATTCTTTTTGTATCTCTACTGTTTTGAGAAATATATTTCTTTTTATAATCAATATTCTCTATTTTATTATTGTTAATTTCTTATTAATGAATGAACCATTTGTACTTATTACATATTCTCTATTTTCTTTCATTTAAATATCGTTTATTAATTTTATAATTATTTTCTTTAATTTGTTTATTTTCATTCTTTTTATTTCTGATATGATTTTATTCTTATTTTGTTGTGGTTTATTGTGTTATTTTTGTTGAAATTATTGATGATATAATAGTTATTAATGTGGTATAATTTAATGTGATTATTAATGTATTTCTGAATATACAGATAATACAAATACACACTTTCTTTTACCATTTGTCTTTTGTTGTTATGTTTAATGTTTTTGTATTATTTCCTGTTTTTTTTTTATTTTTAACGAAAGATAAGAATTGAAAGAATGAAATTGAAAAAATTGAAATAAAAATGAAAATATTTTTATACACCACAATCATTACCCTCATTCGATGTTATTATATTTTCAGAACAATGTTGTTTGAAACGGTGAAACAATAAAAGAGGAATAACGATAAAATTAAAAGAAAAAGTGTGAGAGAAGTTGGAATGAAATAGGAAATGATTCGATTGATTTTATCTATTTTTAATTTAAAGAAATTCATGAAAACAAAAATGGATAAAAAGGAATGAATAAGAAATAATTAACATTATAATTTTACATTGACGAAAAGTTTATTGTAATTTTATTTCATAAACATGTAATTAACGATAAAAATATACCGAAATAAATAAAAATAAAATGAAATAAAATGTTAAAAACGGTGTTTAGTATCAAAACAAATGATGTTTATGAGAAACAACCAATCAGAAAAGAAGTAACACATTTAAACAAATAACCTATTTTGCCGAATGGTATATATTTAAACAAGAAAACAAACTTGTTAATCATTAAATGTCAAGAGTAGTAGTTAAATTTCTTTTAAATGGAAAATGTGTTGCAAATAAACCACTAAATTCACAAGACAATCTGAAAATCGCAAGAGAGAAAATAAAAGGAAAGATGCTTGACTCACAACACTTTTTAACAAAAGATGGAGATTTAATTGATGTAAACGATGAAGAGAGTTATACTATAGGAGATGTAATTGATGAGAAAAGAATAATAAATATTAAAGGAACAGAAGTTAAAATAGGAATAAGAATAAAGATAAATGATAAAGTACTTACCACTATTGAAATAGACAATAAAACAACGATAAACATTATTAGAACATTAGTTCAAAATATACCAGAATCAGCACATTTCTACACACTTGACAATGACAAAATTGAACGAGATGAAGAAGAAGAATTTACTGTAGAAGATATAATAAATAATGAAGAAATTAATCTTAAAGAAGAAAAAGAAAATATACCAGAAATAAATGATATAACAATTGGAATATGTTTGAATGGGAAACCACTGATAAAAAAACAATTCAACAAGACTAATTCTCTTTCAGATGTTAGAAAAGAAATTGAAAATGTAAAACAAATTCCAAAAGACTTTGTGTTTGAAGATCTAGAAGGATTTAAAATACCAATTGATGATGAACAATCATTAAAATTAACATCTATTTTGTATAACAATAAGATCAATATAACAACAGAAGTTACAGGTGTGTCTGAACCAAGTACTACCACATCTCT